CGACATAACAAAACCAAGAAGCACATAGAGAATTTAGGAATGAACGAAGGGGATTAGTTAATATTATGCATAATAATATGCACGAATCGTTAGGTTTGTAGAAAAGATCGTTGTAGATTGTAGCGTGGTGCGGGGGGCAGGGCGATGGCGATACGCAAGGGCAACACGGAATTGATAGTACCTTGCTTTAGAATGGTCTCGAGGTGTAGGCACTCGGTTGGCTGGCCTCACAGGTCAGGTCCAAAGCTCTGGCTCACCCATGATCAGCGCATGTCTCTCTCTGATGTTTTTTCCAAAAGAGCCCAAGAGCGGCAAGCCGGACAGTAACTAGACCGCCTACAGGTTTGCAATCGATAAGAGTGTAGTAGTAGTAGTAGTAGTAGTAGTAGTAGTAGCAGCAGCAGCAGCAGCAGCAGCAGCAGCAGCAGTAGTAGTAGTAGTAGTATAGCAGAAGTAGTAGTGTAGTAGTAGTAGTAGTAGTAGTAGTAGTAGTAGTAGCAGCAAAGCCCCTCAAGCAGATGCATTCTGAGAGCATGTCGGGTTGTAGAGCAGTCTTCCCAGGCTTGCTACAAAGACATTCTGCGAATGACACTATCAGGTCAGGGGCTCTGTTGCTCCAGTTGACGGAGGAACTACACCCCGAATCCCAGAACCCTAACTTGGGACTGGGTGTGTAGGGGCTGACGGTTTAGGGGTTTCGGGTAGTTGTGCTTGGCTGAGCACCACGGCGGAACGGTCGACTGAGACAGACCAGAAAGGCTGTCTCAGATCTTCGTTTGCGTAGTGCCCAAACACACTCGCGAGCCTCTTCCGCAAACCTACCCAAAGTCAGAACCGGAAGCCGTACTGTAAACTCCAAGCGCAAAAGTCCCACAACAACGAAAGCCTGCAAGCCCCCAAACCCTCCAGACCCTCAAATCTGCGGCCGTCCTTCTTCATCTGTTCGAGTTCCACGAACCAATAGGACTTGCCGTGCACCTTGGCAGACTCTGTAGGTTTCCTGGTTCTGGGGGGGTGGTGGGTCGAGAGCTTCAGGAGTTAAATGGCTAATCCCTTCCCTTCAGCCAATAAACGGGGGGCGGGTTCACCCCGAGCACAAACTCGACAGGTGACTTTACTAGCAGAGGCGCGCTTTTCATCACTACTCTCATCCTCGGGTACTTAGAGTCCCCAGAGACTCCAATATCCCTTAATTAAGGAATATACCTTAAATTATAGTCGGATCCTTAATATGATTTAAGGTATATGCCTTAATTAAGGGATATTGGAGTCTCTGGGTCAAGGGAATTAGGCCTCAGACAGAGCCTCTTTGCTCGGCACAGTCAGGTTCAGTCAGGCGGCAAGGCAGTGCTACCAGTTTTTGACTTTTAACTGGGTGTAGTCACTGGGTGTAGACCGGCATCTCAGTGCTGATTTTTTTGCGGATGGTGCATTACTTTCGCCGGAGAAATCTGAAGCAGCGGACAGTAACCAAGCCACTGCGAACGAACACTCAAGCATCCAGTCCTGTCTAGGCGTGAACCCACAACTTCCTATCTCCTAGAATAGATGCTAGGCACGCTAAGGACGATGCTGATGGTGAGAGTGCTGATGATGGTGATGATGACGTGATCCGCACCAGTCCTGTATCCATGAAGATCATCCACTATATCCTAAGCCCTTGAAGCCCACCCTAAACCCTAAACCCTAATGCCCCTGATGATACCTGCCAGGCCCCGGGCTTCACCGGGCCGCGGCTTCCGCGTCGTGTGCGAAACAGCAAAGCCAAACTGCCCTGCCCAGAGAAGCTTTAGGGTTTAGGGCTTAGGGTTGAGGGGTTAGGGGTTTAGGGTTTAGGTTTAGGTATAATGGAAATGCCCTGCCCTCCAGGTTTCCCGGTCACTTGGGTTCCGGATGTAGGAGTTTCGGGGAGTTTGCGTTCGGCAACGTCTGGTCTCGGCTCGTGGGTTGCGGCTGGATGGTCAACGTAGATACGATGTGATCAGTTATGCTGTTCCATGGCAGCAGCCATCGTAAAGACAATTGCCCTGAGCGATGAAGGCTCCGCCATTGCTCCCCTCCCTTTAACGGTCCCAAATACAGTACCAGAACCTTGTAATCTTCGGGCAGGAAGAACTGCAGCACTCCACATCACGATGCACAGTTTCTGGAAGTGGCTGTGCTACCGGTTCTATTCAAAAGCAATGGTCATGACAATATCAGCAGCTGTAGCGAAAACACATAAGGGACGATGGGACAACAAGCAACTAGAATTAAGACTTCGTAGGGCATGCCTGTGCAACAGTTCTGCCATCGTCACACGTAGTTGCTTCTAAACTAAAGTTTGCTGGGACATGCCTGCGCGACGGTTCTATTCTATCGTCGTCATAGCTGCTACAGCGGCAAGGAACAAGTTAATGTAGGGGCCTTAATAATTAGAATAGGGTTTTGGGGGTTCCTTATTATAATCATAGTATAATATACCTCACAACCTATATTAATTATTAAGCTATGGAACATCGGCCTCCCTGCTGCTAACTTGCGTATGCACTTCTGCAATCTCTGCAGTGGTGTCGGTACAGAACCCAAACCACTCCTCTGCCTCCCTCTCTCTCCCCCTAAACCCTAAACCCTAGAAGCCTAAAGCCTTAAAAGCCTTAGCCCCAAGCTTCGACAGTTCCCAAGACGTCCCGAAGACCTGGAAACGTGTCCAAGATCTTCTGAATCCTCGGCCGTGCCGGATACACTGCATGTTCGGGCGTTGCAAGAATAGAAGCTGTGCTATGTTACATCATGCTGCACGGCATTGAACCATTGAAGGAGCATGACCATGCAACCACTCACACCCTTTGATGTACTGCACTTCACTTTGAGAGCAGCAGAGACTGTGAAGCAAGTGTGCGCCGGCACAAACACTGTTTGCTTGCCTGCCTGCCTGCGTGCTTGCTTGCACCTCATCTCGAACGTGAACCCTGCGCTCCGCCGCCACCGCCACCGCCACCGCCGCGGCCACGGCCACGGCCACCACCGCGGCCACGGCCACGGCCACCGCCGCCGCCCCCACGACCACCACCACCATCACCACTATACAAGCGCTGGCGCTGCAATCAAGTACCAGTGTAATTCTTCACACGCCCGACTCTATAGCAGCTGTGCTTGCCAGGCTCTACTTGCCCAGCTGGCCATGCCCCACAGTCTCCAAAGACTTGGTAACGAGAGCAGCTTTGGAATGAAACCTTGCAGCATCGTCGACTTGCCAGGTCCGAGCATCAGGGTGCCCTTGCCCACGCCGGAGGGTCCCACGATCACAAGCGGCCTCGCACTAGGAGCGGTAGCTGTGAACAGGTTCAACTTGGGCAGATGATGGGCCTGCAGGGTTCAAAGGTCTAGGGTGGATTGACCCAAAGTCCTTCAGCCACGAACACCTAAAGCCATAGAAGCTTCTCGAAACAGGATTTGATGACAACATCCGGTTGGGTTCTCCGTTCTGACCAAACTCCTGCAATCGGCTGTCCTGGCCCTGAAAGCAGTTGTGCACCCAAGGGACGCGCGAACGATTGGGGCAGGTTCGTTGACAAGCCTCGGTACAAAGCCGAAACACGTGGAAAGGGATGCCAGGCCAGGCTATGCCAGAGCACCCCAAACCAAACCTCAACTCTGCACCCCCAGTCCAAACCCGTCAACCCTAACCAAAATCCTTCAACCCTCGTGAACCGATTGCTGTCCCGTGGCTTTCCGTTCGCGACCGGCTCGTTGTAGCCGTTGGCCGTGAAGCGTGGCGCCGCTGGGGTCCGCGCCTGGTCAGCAGCTGTACGAACTTCAGGTTTAGGGTTCAGGGTTTAGCTAGGCTGAACTTTCAGGGATCCCGCGGGGGTTGAGGCTGACGAAGAGAGAAAAAGATTTTGGGCACAGCATTGGGTTGCAGGCTTGTCTGTGCATGGGGCCTGGCTACAGTCAAGGCCCTAACTCACAGCACTTCTTGTTGGAACACAGCTGTCTAAGCTAGGGGATGCGCGCGATGCGATGAGGTCACATCATGATCACATCAGCATGGCTTCCCCATGCAGATGCCGCGTCAGCAAGGTTGCATCCACTAGTCCACTACACAAAAACACACGGTAGCCGAGCCATTCCTCATGTAGACGCCCGATTTGAGAAGCACCCACACAAGACACACGTCGGTGGAATCATAACATCATAACACATCAGAACCAGCCAACACCGGCACACACTGAAGATAAACATCAGTGGCATCACAGCACATCCAAGCCAACCTTTTCATCAGTGTGAGTTCGGCGCCGGTCAGGGTGCCCGAGACCACTGTGGCAGTAGAAGCGCCATTAGAAGAGCTACTAGGTATCATGTCCTGCTTTCTCCTCAGATGTGTCACGCACATCAGTGACATCGCAGCAAACAGCGAGTCAACACCAGCCACAACCCATGTAGACGCTCGATATCGCAATCACCCGCCCAAGAAACACTTCAGCGACATCACATCAAACAGCAAATCAAAACCAGCTGTTCCCCATGCAGACGCTCGATATTGCAAGGACCCACTACTGCAGAAAGAACGATTCTCCATGTAAATCGCTGTAAACTCAGCTTCAGCTGTCAAACGTGATCACAAATCCCCAAGTAGACGCTCGGTGATGCGACCCCCCCCCCCGGTCCCCCCATTGTGGGGTGGGATGCAGGCAACATGATGCGACCTGATTAGCTACGCCACTGTAGGAATCAAGAGGGTTTGGGGTTCAAGTCTTCGGTTTCTGTACATTGTACCAGTACATATGCATGCATCTGCAGGGTAGTATATTGGTTCAATGGTCTTTCTGGGGTTGGATCTTATGTTGTCAAAAATTAAGCGTTGTAGTGCAGCTATTATTGTGGATGACCTATTTACTCTTCCTACTGTTGCTGCTGCTCCTGCTGCTGCCATGTCCGGGATCATGGCTACCACCATGATGCCGGCAGGGGCTTGGCACAAATACAGGCGACCCAGTGCAGAATTCTCCGACACGAAAGCCTCTAGCACGGAGCCGAGCTGCTGCCGCGGTCAGGACCACTTTGGGAGGTGCCTTCGGCTGTTGCTCCCGAGCAATTGCGTACCCAGCGCGCAAACAGAAAGACTGGTACCTTAGCCGAAAGAGGGCTAAGAGCTAGGCTGGAGATGTTTCGAGGGCGAGACATAATGCTCCGTGGTCGAAGCCTTGCACTTCTGCGTACTTGTTGGCGCAACTATGTATCATCAAGAGACACTCATGCAAAACCTCCAGGGCCGATAGGCTAAGCAAAAAGATGTGTCGTGTGATTTGGAGCCACGCAACGTCCGGGAACCCTCGGAAAAACCCAGTCCGGAACACAAAGCCGAAAACCGCATGCACCATCAACACACCTGCACCCCTAAATCCTGCCCAACCAAACCCGTAGAGTTCGGTCCAAGCTGCTGCTCCAGCCTGAGGCAGGGGGCCTAAGCCCTACGAGATTTAGTTCGGGTCAACCATGAGAATAGAGTTCCTGTAAGGATCTCTTTTGAAGGGGAGTCCAATATGGGGGTTTCCGAAAATAGGAGGCCCTAATATAGTACCCTAAATACTAGGATCCTTATTATAAGGACCCCCAAAATAAGGTACCCCTAATTGTTGGAAACTCCCATATGGGGTGAAGGACTGGGCTTAAGTCTGGGACTCAAAGGTTCGAACATTCGGCCGGGTGGGCTTCTGGTTCTGGGACGGCTAATAAGGGGCCTAAATAAATTGCCTATACTATTTTGGGGGTTCCTGATTAGAAATATAGTATAATGTACCCCAAAACCATTTCCTAATTAGTAAAATCCCTAAATTAGGGGCTTTGCCGGGTTTGGGGGGCGAAGTGTTCGATGCTTTCGGGCCCTTTAGGGCTTGTAGTTTGGGATTTGGATGGGTTTGGGAGGCCCAGTTTGGGCTGGGTCTTGGGTGCGGTCCTGGTTCTGCACGTGGAGCACTGATCTAGGGCCAATCTAGGGTACAGGGTTTGGACATGCGGCGTTTGCGGCTAACGGTCTCGAGATATCGGATGTTTCTTCCGAGTTCTGGCAGCCACAATCTAGGACTGGCTCTTCGCAAACCGCTGGGTCACGTGTTAAGTGCTGCGCGTCCCGTGCCTGCAGATCAAGACCAGAGCTATGACTTCTGCCAAAGCTTTGATCTTCTACATCTGAAGAAGCCGGGTCCCAAAAACTCCATATCCTACATGCACCAAGTTCCAAATTCCCGCGCTACACCTCTAAATCTTTCTACCCGAGGATGCTGAGGCTCCGACACAGCCGGATCTTTCTCCTTCAGGAAATCACCAGCTTTGACCATCGTACTAGGCTCCGACAACGGCACAGAGCCCAGCTCGACTGCAAGAAGGGTGAGATTGTCGTCTGCCTCTTTGTCGATACAACGCTGCAGGACACCAGCAACCGTGTCACCCACATCTTTGGAGGATTTACACACGTGCTGCACCACTTCCTCATTGCCCATCGTGTCCCAAACTCCGTCACACGCCAGGATAAGCCAGTCGCCTCGTTCGGCAGTCCAGCGGTACAGCTCTGGCACACAGCTGACTTTCTGCTCCGCAGCCGTCCCGGCACCCTGCTTGAAGCTGAAGTCGCCAAGTGCTCGGCTGCATGCCAGCTTTCCGTCTATGCGCGGCGGATCGAAATCCTCATTCACCTCCCCACCAGCAGCTGTGATGCGATCTCGCTCGGACTTGTCATCAGGACGGTGATCTCTCGTGTGCTCAATAGTATCTGAAGATTTTCTCCAAAGAAGAGCACGCGAGTCTCCTAAGTTAGCAACCGTCACGATGATGCAATCCTCGCGGCCGTTTGGCTGCATCTTGGCGACGGTTGCCTGGGTCGCACTAACCGCTGTATCTAACCCATAAACCATAGAGGTGAAATTGCAGTGACCACAGCCCTCTTAAAGACTAAGAGGGATGTGGGTGAAGTAGCTCATGGCTCCGAGGCAATAAACCATATGTTCGGCACCTCGGACTCGAAGGCTTCGAGCGGTGGATCCAAGTTACTGTCCGGCAGCGTATCCTAAAGTGCCGATGCGCATCTCCAGTGCATCCACAGAACTGTTTTGGAGCGTCCACCATGAAATTATGCAGCAAAACAGTACCCCACCCGTGCCCAGCCCTACAGTGCCCTGCAAAGGGATACGTGTCCCCATCTGCGGAGTGCCCATGCCCGCAACGCGAACAGTTTTCCTTGTTTTGTAATTTTCTCACCCTCGGTGAAGTGTCAGAGTTTGAGGCAGCTACTCTCCTGTCCCCTCCCTCCTGGACTCATCCCTGCAAGCCACCAAGTCCCAGTTTCAACTGGAGTGGGGATCTGGGAAACAAACGATTCCCTGCACACCTTCTCTTGCAGAACAGAGCCACGTACATCTACACACTCCATGCAAGTAAAACTTGAATGACTTGTGAGCCCTGACTTTATCATGCAACTTGTGGACAGCCTGTGCAAGCCACTCCTCAATTTCAATGCTTCAAAGATACATTTACCAGAGCAGCCCGCCCAACAATTAGGATCAGACAGGGTGCCCTACCCGATGTGCTTTGGTTTCTTGTCTAGCGCGGGCACGTAGCACCTATCGACATATCCCGGGGTTCGAAGCAGTTAGTGTGTGCTATGTACCTGCTGAAAGAAGCCAGGGCACAGTGGTCCCTGCTTCGCATTCCTTGGGAAGCGCAGCCATCAACTCAGAATCGCACAAGGCGAAAGCTTGGCGCAGCCCGTCGTCGTCGTGCGCGGTTGAGACGTGCCGCGGCAAGCCTTCGGTGCGGCTTCAACATCTTCGGACTTCGAAGAACCTACTTCTGGCCTACCGCGCTACCATCCTGGTACATCTACATCCTAGTGAGAGATACGTACTAAATAGCTGCCATCATGTAACTCTCATTATTTGGTAAGGATTGGAAGGCATGCGTGCTCTTCTTCTATGCTACTTATGCTAATTGTTCCAATTTTTAAATTTCTACTGGGATTCTCATAGGATCACACTTTCACCACCAATTTCCGGCCCGGACACGTTCCGCACAGAAGGCCGCTGCCTCATCTCCGAGGTGGCCATCGAAAACACCGCAGATTCCAAGTTTTTGGTCCAGGACGTGGCAGTCTTCAAAGTTGGGCCGCAGACCCTGGCAGGGTTTGAGGCTTTTAGGTTTTGGAGTTTGGGGTTCAGGCTTGTTGCATGTGAGAGAATATCGCTGTCTCAGACAACAACTTGCAACCCAGCTGCATGCATTCATGGATAGGTTGCGGTTAAGTTTCACGTGCCGTAGCCGCCTCATGCGCAAACCTAACCCTGTTGCCCGGAAACCTGCATGGCAGCGACGGCGGCGCGACCTATCTGCCCCGTGCTGCGCTCCACGGCTGTAGCCGTGACAGGTGCCGACAGAGGCATGGCGCCAGGAAGACTGGCGCGAAAAAGCTGCTTCGTCTTGCAGCTGTCTGACCGGCTTGCGGTCAGATGACAGGTATATTAGATGACACAAGCGTCTTTCTGCGAGAGGGTGGCTTAGGTGGGGCTGAGTGGCGAGGTTCGGGCTGGAAGGAAAACAGGTTCGGAGAGGTGCTGGTGACTGCTAGTGCTGCAGCTCTGCATCCCTGCGTAGACCCTCCACGTCCCTGTCAAAAGCCAAAGACAAGGTTGGCGGCAAAACGCATCGCCGGCTGCGAAATCCGTCAACCCTGTTAGAGAAGCTGTCTGAGCTTGGGGTCAGTGGGCAGCGCAGCTTAGGGCACAAGAACTACCTTTGTCCTGCTTGTAGTATGGTTCTTCATCAGCACAACCTGCTTTCGAATTTAACAACTTGAAAACTTTCAATGTGATTCTACGAGGAGTCCAGCTACAAGCACCGACCAACTTTAGGTCGCATTTCCGTCAAGTGGGCCATGTTGACCCATTGACGCACCTGGGCTTGAGGCGACTCTGGGCATCTGTGAAACTGGAGCTCAGGCCTGGCTCTGCAAACGTCAGCAGACAGGTCACAGTACTCCACACAACTCATTGACAAAGCGCTTTGGTTGCAGTGTTGTGCCGCACCGGGACCTCTTGAAATCTCAGGGACGCCGATGCGATGCTGCCACGGCTTTGTCAGCAAAAGTGCTTCAGCACGCCATCTGGCCATGCAGCACGTCTTGCCGCGGCTTGCGCCGTCTGTCATCGCATGCTTTTTCAAAGTAGTGCTGCATAATGTCGTCCGGGTCGGCCCAAAGCTTCGATTGCTCTGACTGTCCTTGCAAGTGTGCTGCCGCAACATGCTTTGATCCGGTGATACAAATGCGTGCGCACGCGAATCTGGGCCACCACTCTGAATGGCCGTGATACCTTTCTACAGTTGCAGCCAACCCAGCGGCTTATCCATGAGCTGGATTCCCGCGTGTGCCCATTATGCAAGTAGGCACCGTTGAACCCCAAACCTTGGACCTACACCTGCAGCCCTGGAGATCCTTCTACCTGGCCGGAGCTCCCAATGCAAGAGTTGTAGACCCTTGTAGGCCATGCACGTGCGTTTAGCCTTGCTTCTGTAATGTGCGAGGAATGATAGAGCCAATATAATACAATCCTCTAACTGCTCCCTGTTGTTGCTGATGGTGTCGTGACCATGAAAGAGACGGATGATGATGCTGTTGCTGATGTTGATGGTGATGATTGAGAAATATTGAGAACCTTGACCATCCTGCAAAAGCCGCTCACTGCTGTTGTGCTGAGTATTTCAAAAGAACCTACATTGTCGGTCATGTTCGTTGCTATGGCTGTAATTAAGTACTCGTGGTCGTAGTGGCAGTCACAGTAACAGCAGTAGTAGTATTAGTATTAGTAGTAGTAGTAGTAGTAGTAGCAGTATTAGTAGTAGTAGCAGTCGCAGCAGCAACCTCGGTAGCAACAGGTGATGGTGCTGGTGCTCGTGCTGAGGATGCCATTTACTTGACGTGTTGATGCTCGGATCTTGCTGCCAGGCATCTCACCCATTGAGCAATGTCAAAGACGCGATATTTGCCATCTGCCTCTCAGCATCTTCGCTGCTGCAATTCCATAAAAATGTCAATCTCGAAAGACCGAACCCGAAAGCCCGCAACCCGAAACCCGAGAGCGTCTATCCTCGACCAGAACCTGCGATCGCGGCAACCACCAAACATGAAATCGATGCCACTGCTGCGACTTTACGGCTGATCTTCGGCTGCTACTACTACTGCTGCTACTACTACTACTACTCCTGCGCGTGGTGGTGCTACTGCTACTGTTACTGCTACTCCTGCTACTCCTGCTACTCCTGCTACTCCTACTACTACTACTACTACTACTACTACGACTGCTAACCCCTGAATCGCATACCCCTATTTAGCCGCTGCTACACTGCGCATTCTCGAGGAACCTAGTGCTGTTTGTCGAGCATAAATATATGGATTTGTAGTCCCCTGAGTCTTTTGCTATGAAAAATAAGCATCTGGCCACTCGATCTATCTTTCCTCGCCATATACCCAATATAATGCGACGTTTGGAATGCTTGGTAAATATAAAATAAAAACTCATAAGGTCATGGGCTTTTGGGAACCCAGCCATCCCTGGAAGGACTTAGGGTTTGCCCTTCGGGTTCAGGGTCTAACGGGGTACTCCACCCTCAGCCAATGTACTATAAGGATTTGCCGAACCCTGGTGATACTGCAGATCCAAAGCCTGCACTGAACCTGCAAAAAGAAGATGCTGGACATCTCTACAAGACCTGCCTAGATCCGCAGAACTTTGAACACCAAGACCAAGCCAACTATAGGTATGCATGTATGCAAATTTACAGTGCCCAAGCACACAGACTTGCGATACTTGTAAAGGCACACCATCTACATGTCTATCAGTATATACACACAGGTACAAATTCATGCACCTTGGATGTGTATATCCATGGGTATGAGGGTGGCCACACGTATCAAGTATGCGTATACAGAAGTGCATGTGCATGTGAAAGAACGAAAATATATACATAAACACAGAACGTGTGTACGTATATATATATATATAGAAACACATCATCGATAAACACATTACACATTCGACACTGTATATACATGTGTACACTACTACACATCTACATGCATGCATTGCATATGCAGTTCTGCAACATGCAGGAGGTGTTGCGGTTCAAGCCTTTCTACATTATGCGTTTCTATTTATGTTTGCTGGGACTGCGAATTTTACGTACACGTAGAGACATATATGCCTCTGCATTTTGTGAGGTCGCGGTATACCCTTCCGCATTTCACGAAATGGACCCGTGAGTCTCTGAAGTGCATCCTTTAGGGTTTAGGGCTTAGGGTTTAGGGTTGCTGTGTTTTCATCTGAGGGCTTTCTGAATACACACCATAAAGACAGATGCCAAGTAGGGGTTAAAGTACCATGATTGAATTCCCAGAAGTCCCCACATCTGTGGTCTTCGGTTCGTCCCCGAGCCTCCTTCCTGGTCGGTATGCTTTCCGGAGCGCAGGGCCTTGAGAGACTGCTTCGATGTTGAAGAATCAATGTTCCTTTAGATAATCACAGCAGCCTTGATAGCTGGATAGGGCTTTGGGGGCGCAGTACATTGTAACATCATTCCATTCGGATTGTTTTACGAGAATCTTCCAAGGCCTTCGGATCAAAGGTTTAGGGTCGGTGTTCGGCCGGTTAAGACTCCGTCCTCTCTCCGGCGAGATCGAACAATTACGCTTCAGGGCGTAGGGTTCAAATTTCTGGTTCAGTGGTTCGCGGCTTGAAGAACAAGTATAGCTCCTGGTCCGCTTATACATCAAAACCCTTTCAAAAAATGAAACAGCATCAAGAATAACGTCAGGAAGCAAGCGAGGCATGCTCTCAAGGAACAACGAACTCTCGGTTACCACTTTGATCTTCTTTGTGAAGCATAACGTGTGCTTCTATGTAAGTTCATATGCATGTAGACCTGCACACGCAACGTATACGCAATATAACGTCAGCAACAACACAAAGTCCCTTCATGTGTAGGCCACCAGTTTTAGTTTTCCACCTCGAGCTCGCAGGACACCCTGTGTGTGGTTCACTGAACAGTGGCTCCGGGCGAAGCTGAATTCTTGCATCTTGCCTTCATTCGTTGTTCCAGATTTTTCATACATAAAAACATAAAAACTATAAAACATGTTTTTATGTAAAAACATTTTTATGTCTGGCTCTAAAACATGATCAATAGCTTTATCGGAGTGGCTGTGTCGCTGCGGCAGTCACAGCCAGCTCACTGTGGGCCGCTTGATCCGGCACACCGCCCATTGATGCGTCGGGCGTTCCTCTGTTGGGAGGTTTTGGCTTGGCCTGGATACTGTAGGGGCCTTCACAATTAGAATAGGGTTTTGAGGTCCTTCAGAGCATAATTATAATAAGGAGCCCCCAAAATAGTATAGGTAATTCTCTAAGCCCCTACATTAGGGCTCACGGGATTTGCGCAGAACCCAAAGCTGGAAGGACCTGTTCGAAGATCTGAGCAGCCTCGTCCCCCGATTAAATCACTGCACGACTCTGCAAGCCCTTTGAGCTAAGCCCTAAACCGTACACCCCTAAACCCTGAAATCCTGAAACCCTGAAACCCCTAAACCCCTGAACCCCAAACCCTAAACCCCTAAACCCTGGAACCCGAAACCCCTAAACCCTGAAACCCCTAAACCCTGAAACCCCTAAACCCTTTTGAGCTCAGACTTGCGGTTCACAACCTGGAGTGCCGCTCTTCACTTCGGCTGAAAAGCTGTATAGGCTGCTCCACAGAGATGCCGGCACTTTTGAGATTTGTTGTTACAGTAGACTATCGTACGTTACGGCATGTTATATTACGAAATATTCTAGTACATTGCAATATATTTATGTCGTGTGGAATTTTGCCCGCAGGTCCTGCGCCAGATTCGGCCGCAGCCCGAATTCTTCGATTCCATCTGTCCACCACGCCCTGCCAAACCGGCAGGTCCATGGCCTGCGATTGGATCTTGAGTCAGGATTTAAGGGCCGGCACGGGGTTCGGGTTTTGGGCCTCAATACCGATGCGAGTTGTTGAGGGCGGCTGCGTCCGTAAGGTAAGCCTTTCGAAGCTCTCTCATGCATCTAGGGCAAGTCTAGCGGCCATCCGAATGACGGAGGCTGCATATTCACAGGAAACAGGACGGAGGACTCCAGGATAGACGCATATAATGGGCTGTTGAGGGCACAGACTTGAGACAAGGAACCGTGGGTTCAAGAATTAAGCAGAACGGAAGCATGGCAGCTACATTTCGGAGTTTCAGAGTATTTGGAACCCGAATGCCATACGTGGTAGGATCCGTATGGACCCTTTAAACGAGGACCCCTTGTTTCAAGAAACCCCATAACCATATGTACCATATGGGGCGCTGAGATAGCCTTCCTTGTCCACG